GCAGTTTTATTGGTTGCTTGGATGTGCCAATATAACTGGCAAAATGCAAAAGGAGACTCTTCAATACTATATTCAAGGTTGGAATCATATTACCTTATATCCAAGTTCACCAAAGTGACTATATTCTTAAGACTTTGTCAAAGATTAGCTTTGCCTTCTTTGTATGACAATAGCTAACAAAGAGTAAGTTTGCTAGTTAGTAAAAGTTGTCTTGGTAGTATTTTCCTCTGCATTCAGAAAATTGTGCATACCACATGAAATTACAGGGCTGTGGGATAAATAACAAATCTCACCCAGAACAACTTTTTAATCCTTAGGCCTGTGAACAGCTTCAAACAGCTGTTATTATTATAAATCAATTTACTATAGAAATACTTCTTCTTTCCTTTTAATTGCATCCCAGTTCACAGGGTATATGAATTCACAGGATAAGATTCATTTCATACTCTGATTAAGCTTAAGTCTGTTTTTATTTTTTTTACCTAATCAAAATTTCTGTAATCAGCACTGGAGGTAGCCATGTTACTAAAAAATGTTATAGTCTTGAATAATTATATGCAGGGTGTTGAGGTATTTAATCTTCTATAAATTAATGGCTTAAATCAGGAGAAGAATTTGAATTTTTAAATAATATATATAAATATGTTTGTTTTAAGGGGAATGAAGAAAATTTAGAAATCCTTACAGTGGTTGCCAATTTCAAAAGCAATACTTCTTTTAAAAAAAAAAAAAGCTTACTTCCAGCATAATTAAGAATGACATTCTTGAAAATTATCTGAGAGAGAAAATTTTACAGTTCATACCTAACAAAAAATGCTTTCCTTCCTTGTAAAAATACAGATTTAGGAAATGGATGCAATTTTCCTATCCCTTTCTCTAATTTTTAAAAATGCTTCATTACAGCATAATCAACACTTGGTGTAAGTTAAATTTAGTTTAATTTTGTTGCAATCTTTAAAGAGAAAGAAACAGCTAACTCTGTATATAGACACTAAGCCAGAGCCACTTGTTAAACCACTCAGCTTTTTTAAGACTCTTAAGACAGTGCTTTTAGCAAACTTCTGTAAATCAACATTTATAGGTTCATAAGCAGAACCAAAAAGCATTGCAACAGAAGTGAAAACTCCAATGGCCAATTTAAGCTTCAATTTAAGAGAAAGCAGCTCCACTGCTGTCAATAGAATTGTACTTGCTTACAGAAGGGTTGAATTTGGCCTCAAGAGTTTATGACTCATCAACATTTATGGAACAATCACCAGCTCTGGGTATTTGAAATTCATTACACTTTGTGACTGCAGTCACATTCTTTTATGGAGGTTTCCTCTTTGACCTGAGAATGAGTAATATTAAGAAGAAAAATAAGGGTGATGCCATATAACAGAAAATAAGGGGTAAAAGTAGTACACGTAAAACAGTACTTTCACAGACTCATGTAACAACAGAATGCCTTAGAGACTCTGTATTTCTAATGAAGTAACTTTAAACCATGCTAGTAATGATATATAGCTGTAAAAAAGGGGTAAAGACCCCTTTAAGTTGGTAAAGTGAAGGAGCACTGGCATCTATGAGAACTAGACCTTCTATGCACAGGGATCATTTCACCCACTGTTGAAATGGATCCATCTCTGGAATGGAATTAGAGCAGCCACTCCATCCCAGCAATTCAAACACTACAATGGATTTCTGAAGGGGATGGAAAGAATAATCTTTGTAGCTGAAAATATCAAATCTTTGGAAATGTTAAACAGAATGTAATTACCCAAACAGAAACCTAGCTGGGATACTGGGACAATAACACCCTCCCTTTGCAAAAATTATCACAGTATCTTTAATGGTCACAAACTGTTGAAGCTTTTGTAAGTCTTATCCAAAAAACAAAAGAACACCACTGTCCCTTCAGTAGTCCAAAATTACACTTCTCCAGAGTTCAGAACTTTATTTATGGCATTTCTATAGAGATTTGCCACATTCATTCTAGATTACTGCAAAAATGACCACTAGATTGAAGAATCAGTGACAGTTTTAAAGTCCAATAATTCACATGCTGTCAGAGCTAGAAATTAATGTTGTATATCACAGGAAATTTTTCTATTGTTATATATGACATGTTTCTAGACCTAGCAGCTCCTTGACTACTGGAACCTGAAATGTCATTTTTCTAGCTATTTGTTTGGTTCTCCTTCCCTCCTCCCTTATTGAAATAACAAATATTCTGAGTATTACAAGAGCCAGGAACTAAAATTGGAGCCACGCACCCCTAAAAACCTTCGAACCATTATTCAAAAGTTATAGCCTGAGCCACTGACAAATCTATGGCCAAACTCCCATGTTCTCCCATGATGAGAGAAGGATCACACCAATAGTGCATTAGCCCAGGGCTGTCCAACTTCAGAGTAGCCAGGCTCGCAGACAGCTGTGCCGGCAGTGTGTCCACTCCCGAGTCCTCCCCTACTGCCAGGACCCCCAGACCTTTTGTTAAATACTTGGGCCTTTTATTAATCTATTATTCTAGAAATTTAGCAAGTACTCTCCATTAAAAGCATGTCAAAATAAGCATACGTGCAGAAAACACTGAACTCACAATAAGAGTGATTTATTGTTAAAGGCCAAATATTTAAAAAATTACTATGGAGAAAAATATTATATGATTTTTTTCCAATTCTTCTAGACCAGTGAACAGAAAGAAAGTGTTTAGATCCATGGCCTTTACTGGAAAGACAGATGACAAAAGAGATCACATTTAAGACTGCAAAATTAGTCACTAATGTAGCTCTATTGTGTCAGGTACAAGATAAAAGAAGCACAAAAAGTCAAAATCAGGGAAGGCAATTTACAGGAATTACCAGACAGAAGGCAACTGACAGAAATCTTTCCTGCTGAGTGTTTGGCTTCATGCAATTATGGTTAAAACTATCTCTTTAGCAACATTTGCCTCTAAGTCCAACTTATCAAGATAGCTGGTTTAAATTAATCATAACTTAATTCACATTAAGTAATTTTTCTATGTGAAATTAATTATGTGATGACATTTCAAGTTATATATATACACACACACACTTAACTGAATAAAGAGAATGTAAGGATAGAGAAAAAAAAGATATTAAGGATAAACAAACTACAAAGAAGGTAAGAGGAGAAACCCTATCAAAGAGTGTTGCTAACCCACCTCTTTGAATTTTAGAACTTACTCTGAATTTCCCTTCATCTCCCTCACCTCATTTCCACCCCCCACCCCCAAACCTTCAGGAGGCTATTTCCTTTTCATTTTTAACTTCAAAAAAAGATGTCTCTCAATGCTGATCTACAAGAAGAAAATAAAGATTTAAGTGGCAGAAGTAGGAGATTGCCATCCTGTGTAATACCTGGAAAAAAGCAAGAAGGCAGAAATACAATGTTCTATATGGAAGCAGGAAACAAAGAGGTGCTTCTGTTTGCAAGAGTGAGTTTTACTACCTTTGGATGTTGAATGGAAGCACTGTATTTATTAAATGGTTTGAAAACATCTGTAAAAGCTAAATAATGTAAATGTACTGAATGACATGCAGCTTCTTCAAAAATCGACAATGCCAATAATTATGGTTGAATAATATTTAGAGCTACAGTGTGTACACTAAACATCAGTGTTCCTTCTCCTCTTAGATTTGTATTATACTCTGGCATAATATATGACGTGTAACTTGGAAAACAGAATCTTAAATATCAAGAACATTTTTTCAGTACATAGTCTTTAGTCTTACCAGATTTTCCTGAAATGTTTAGAATGATTCTTGCTGCTATACGCAGAGTCTAGATTTTTCTGTAGAAAAAGTTTTTAAATTAACATTTAATAGCACACTTACTTGTTTCCCAGATGTAAGCTTTTCATCCTCAGTGTTCTGTTCTGGTTTAATGATGTGATACATAAAGCTTTTACTATCACATTCTGAAGGTGTGCCTTGACTGTAAATTTGTTTTGCTCCATCTCTGATGTAATGTCTCTGCAGGGGAACTTCATGCAAAAGAATTTTGCTGTAAAATAAAACCTCTGTCACTATTTCACAGTAGATAAAAAAAAGAAGGTAGTGCTGAGTAACTGAATAATCTCGAGTTAATTTTCTTGTTGTAGCTGAGACACAAAGTGAGCTGCAAACTTAAATGCTAATAAATTCCTCCCGTGCACTATATTTACTTTCGAGAGAAAAGAAAGCAAATTACATACCAAAAGTAATGTAGATAATATATCACAGTTTAAATTTTACTGGAATTAAAGTCAGAAAATTCAGTAGCGAGATTCTCAGTTTTCTTAGCTCTTATTTAATGCATGAAGTAAAATAAGATGCTTCATCATATACAACAAGTAGTTGTGTACCCAAATAAGAAATGTTGGGAAAGACCTTGAGGAAGATTGCAAAGGTCTTGCAGTTTTATTACAAGGTAAAGGAGAAAGGGGAAAAAAGTATGAAAATTTGGAGTGGACTGATTGGCAGAAATCAGAAAGAGAAAACAGCCTGAAAGATGACCTACAAGGCCTAGTCACGTTAGTGTGAGTGAGACCCTGCCGAGGCCAAGATTTTGTCAGGAGCTTTCAAATACTGTACGCTAAACATGTCTCTCTTTCAGACAGGTGTAAAACTGAAAGACACTACCCAGACTTTTGCTACCAAAACATCTGTAAATCAAATCAGTTCATTTAATTTTTTATGGCTTTTAAAAATTGAAGCCACCCATTATTTATATACATCAAGGATTTCTGACTTTCTCTGGTGCCTTACACATATTTAAACAATTAAATTTTACTGACATTAACTTTAAGGACAATTAGCACTGATAGAGTGGATAGGTATAGCCAAGAAGTGATCAAGGTATAAATCAGGGATGTCAAACATATAGCCCATGGGCTACATCTGATCCATGGAGCCACAAGATCCAGCCAGTGTATGTTCAGACTGGCCCCATGTCCTGCAAGGGGCACACACCAGGCCTGGCACTGTGTGTCACACTAGGAACGGGGGATTTGTCTGGGGCACGTGCTGTATGCGGCACCCACACTGTCCCTGCATGTTAGCTCTGGGATCCATCTGAATCAGGCCATGCTGCGGCCAGCGCGCACACCTGCCTGCCTTCTGTGCTGTATGCAGCCCACGTCGCAAGCAGCTTACACCAAACCCCACTCCAAGGCTCATGAATAAGGAGCATGGACTAAAGCCAGCACTGCCTGCAGCAAAGGAGGTCTGGGCTGCAGGCTGCATGCAGCGTCCTATCAGACTGCCCCTGCACACTGGCTCCAGCCTGCATGGAAATCCTGGGCCCAATCTGGACCAGTCCTGAAGTCAGCATGCAGGGCTAACCTGGCAGAATGCTAGTTTGTGCACCAGACTA